CCCCCCCCCCCCTGCCTGAGAATTTACTTTGAAAATCATGTATTTTCACCATTTTCCTCAATTTTTTCCCACGTAGAACCCCAACATATAGGTCTCTGGATCCGCCACTGCAGTGTGCACGTGGGTTTTGATTCCCTCGACATCAGCAGACATAATTAGGTTACATTTAGAGATTATTATATGACCATTTTGATATCACACCCCATATCAGCCCGAGAGTCCTGGGCCCATATTCATGAAACCGTTCTTGTGCTCAAGCATGGATTCTGTGCTCAAACCAACATTCCTGTTACTCACTGAAATCATGTCAAACGATCAAAAAGTCATGTTTGAACCTTGAAAACAGTATTTGGCTTTAAATCTTTTCATTTTTTTTCAAAATCATTGACAGAATAAGTTTTTCTTATTAAACTTTTTATCATATGTTTCTTTTTCTTTAAAATAAACAAAACATACACAAAAAAGTATTTCTTTATTTTATTTATATTCATAAAAATGGTAACAAAAACAATGATATAATGATGTATATAAACAAGACAGCAACAATTATACGTAAAAAGTCAACATTTAGAAATTCCCAAAGTCCTACAAAATGATTTTCCATGAAACCGCAGTTATTTCATGCCTACAATTCGTTTGTTTACATTAAAAGTAGACAGCATTAGGCGGAAGCGTCAGAATCCGGAAATTTGGGAGGGGGTGTGATATCACTTTTCTAAGGGGGGGGGGGGGGGGGGGGGNTCCAAGGGTGTGTGCTATCACCTGGGCTGATATCAACTTGTGGAAATTTTAGACTTATTTCACATACAAAAAGGGTGTTATTATTAGTAAACATGTACATATGATAATTAATAATACATTACATAGATCTGTTAACAAAGACAAGATGTGTCTACATTTACAGATTAAATATAATAGCTTCTTCTGTTGCTGTTATAATTTAACTCTTTGCTTTAGTATATTATAGGAGAGATTTCTCGGATCATACAAGTTTGTTATAATTGCCTATTTGCCTGTACATGGACACATTACATATAAACAAGGGAAATAGCTACTTCACAAAAAAATACCAAGCAATGAGTGCCACTTAAGACAGCTAGAAATTGGGGAAAAGATTGATAAGATCAAAATTAAAAAGAATATGCCTTTGAAAATATTTGTTGAACTTGTAGATTTTTTTTCAAAATCTGACTTAGGCTAGTACTTAATAAAATAGTGAATTCAATGTAGATTATATATCATAGGTGTCAAAAATGCAACATCTGAAACCTCCAATGAGGGAGCTAGATCTCCTGCATTCCTTATTTCCAATGAGGAGAAAGGGTGTGAAACAAGACTGAAACTGCTTCGCTCAATTTATCTTCCCTTTTTTTAGCTCACCGGGTCTGAAGGACCAAGGTGAGCTTATGCCATACCGTGGCGTCTGTCGTCCGTCCGTCAACAATTTCTTTAAACGACTTCTTCTTCTTAACCACTGATTGGAATTTAACCAAATTTGACTTGAAGCATCCCTAGGTGGTGGGGATTCAAAATTGTACAGATGGTGGGGCTGCCCCCCCAGGGGGCTGAGGGGTGGGGCAAAAAGGGGGCAATTTGGCTATATTGCTTTAAGCAACTTCTTCTCTGGAACTAAGAGGTGGATATCAACCATATTTGACTGGAAGCATCCCTAGGTGGTGGAGATTCAAAATTGTACAAATGGTTGGGCTGACCCCCCAGGGGGCTGAGGGAAATGGCCAAAAAGGGGTAATTTGGCTATATTTCTACAAACGACTTCTTCTGTAGAACTATGCACTGGATATCAATCATATTTAATCAAAAGCATTCATGGGATGCAGGGATTCAAAATTGTACAAATGGTGGGGCTGACCTCGGGCTAAGGGGTGGGGCCAAAAAAAGTTTAATACTTGGAAATGGTTGAGATCCCCACCATATAACCACATATACAGTTGCTGAGTATAAAGAGAAGAATGCACATTTGCTTCCAGGATGGCCCTAGGGTCTGGCCCCACCCTTGGAAACATAGTCATTGGGCCATAACTTTAAAACTGTTGAGATTCCCACCCCAAAACTATATATACAAAAGCTGGGCATAAAGAGACGAATGCAGTCACGATGTTAGAATAGACCCTGGGGTCTGACCGAACCCGTAGGGACCTGGTTTCTTAGTCACAGCTTGGAAACAGTTGAGACCCCACCCTATAACCAGATAGACAATTGCTGAGTATAAAGAGATGAATGCACATATGCTTCCAGGATGACCTTGGGGACTGCCCCACCCTTGGAGACTTAACCCCTGGGTCATAACTTTGAAACGGTTGAGATCCCTACCCCAAAACTATATATACAAATGCTGGGCAAAAAGAGACAAATGCAGTCATGATATTAGAATTGGTCCTGGGGTCTGGCCACAACCATAGGGACCTAGTTTCTATGGGCCTCTTGTTTTGAATCAAAATAACTCATAAAGCATTCATTTGTTTCTTACACACCTGTTATGACCATCACAAACACCCTACAGTAACTAGGAGATCATTTGACCAGAGGATGTAGATTCTGAGTTTGTGTCAGTTTGGATTTGAATGGCCAAGTGAGCTTATGGCATGGTGCGTCGTCCGTCCGTCCAGTGTCAACTTTTTACTTTTAAACAACTTCTTCTGAATAACCAAGAGGACCAGGCTGATGATATTTGGCCAGTAGCATTCTGGGATAAAGGGTTACCAGGTTTGTTCAAATGAATGACCTTGACCCACTTTCAAGGTCACAGGGGTCAAATATGTTAAAATCTTCAAACAACTTCTTCTGAATAACTAAAAGGTCCAGGGTACTGATATTTGGCCTGTAACATGCTGGTATGAAGGGCTACGAAGTTGGTACAAATGAATGACCTTCATCCTTTTTCAAGACATAGGGGTTAAATGTGTTAAAATCTCGAAACAACTTCTTCTGAATAACTAAAAGGTCCAGGGTACTGATATTTGGCCTTTAACATGCTGGGATGAAGGTCTACGAAGTTTGTACAAATGAATGACTTTCATCCATTTTCAAGACATAGGGGTTAAATGTGTTGAAATCTCGAAACAACTTCTTCTGAATAACTAAAAGGTCCAGGGTACTGATATTTGGCCTGTAACATGCTGGGATGAAGGTCTACGAAGTTTGTACAAATGAATGGCCTTCAAACATTTTCAAGGTCATAGGGGTTAAATGTGTTGAAATCTCGAAACAACTTCTTCCGAATAACTAAAAGGTCCAGGGTACTGATATTGAGCCTGTAGCATGCTGAGAGGGAGGGCTACAAAGTTTGTATAAATGAATGACCTTCATCCTTTTTCAAGACATAGGGGTTAAATGTGTTAAAATCTCAAAACAACTTCTTCTGAATAACCAAAAGGTCCAGGGTACAGATATTGGGCCTGTAACATACTGGGATGAAGGGCTACCAAGTTTGTTCAAATGAATGACCTTCATCCATTTTCAAGGTCACAGGGGTCAAATATGTTAAAATCTTCAATTGACTTCTTCTGAATAACCAAAAGGTCCAGGGTACTGATATTGGGCCTGTAACATGCTGGGATGAAGGGCTACGAAGTTTGTACAAATGAATGACCTTCATCCATTTTCAAGACATAGGGGTTAAATGTGTTAAAATCTCGAAACAACTTCTTCTGAATAACTAAAAGGTCCAGGGTACTGATATTGGGCCTGTAACATGCTGGGATGAAGGGCTACAAAGTTTGTATAAATGAATGACCTTCATCCATTTTCAAGGTCACAGGGGTCAAATGTGTTAACCAATTTTAACACAACTTCTCAATAACCAAAAGGCCAGGGGTACGATATTGGGCTTGTAGCATGCTGGGATAACGGACTGCCAAGTTTGTCCAAATGAATGGCCTTGACCCACTTTCAAGGTCACAGGGGTCAAATATGTTAAAATCTTCAAACAACTTCTTCTGAATAACCAAAAGGCCCAGGGTACTGATATTGAGCCTGTAGCATGCTGAGATGGAGGGCTACCAAATTTGTTCAAATGAATGACCTTGACCAACTTTCAAGGTCACATGGGTCAAATGACGTAAAATCTTCAATTGACTTCTTCTCAAAAACCAAATGGCCCAGGGTACTGAAATTGGGCCTGTAGTATGCTGGAATGAAGGACTACCAAGTTTGTTCAAATGAATGACCTTGACCCACTTTCAACCTAATGTCCTTGTTCAACATTCAAGGTCACAGGTGTCATGTTTAAATCTTTTAATAGGTTCTATATTAGCCAGGTGGCATATTCTGGCTGTAGCTGTATTTTAGTCCACTTTAAGATTACAATTGTGAGATTAATACCAGGTGAGCGATGTAGGCCCATTGGGCCTCTTGTTTTGTCAAAATGAGGGAGGGTTGACAGCTATGATATATATTGTCTTAAGTTCATGCATGCACAAACTGCTATGTAAGCAAATATTACACACAGATTTATAGTATACAAATATGTATTTATAGCTACACTTGTTTTTATATCATGATATAAAATAATATGTATAAATAGTTCAAAAGAAGTGATTCATGTAGTCACTTTTTCCTGAGGATTCCTATATAGTCGCTGAAACTGCAAGACTTGATAAGCATCAGACGCTGATTGAGCGGGATTTGATTAGATGTGTTTTTTCCTTCTTTTTTTTACAGTGATTTCCTTATCTTGCCAGGCTTTATTGATTTTCTCTCGGAAAATGTGGTATGTATATATGATGCTTTTACCTTCATACATATGGTGTTCAGCTCACATGCAATATACTGTAATTATATACCATCAGATTAAAATTAATTAATTCTTTAATCAGCAATGTTATTGTAATGATCTGGTAAGTACATTAATTTTGTATAATAAATAAAATCTATATATACAATAATTTTGTATAATAAATAAAATCTATATATATATGTGACTGATTCATTTTTTGTTTGTTTAATGTGTAATGTTTAATGTTCAATACATCTCCAGCACACACACAGGCATACACACATAGGGAGATATTAGCCAGGTGGCATAGGACTAGTATTTAGCGCCTGATAAGGCAGCTCCTGCGAATTCTTCAAAATTGTATTGATTGATGTATATATGCTAATGTATTAATTAAATATCAAAGTACTGTAAAGCGCTTTAGAGTGGCTTATGTTAGCTAGATAGGGCGCTATGTCAAATGCTGTATATTTATTTATTTATTTTATAATTTTAAAGCTCTGTAAAAACTACGGTTAGATATGTAACACTTTAAAGTTTTGATTATACATAGTGTTGTACATGGTATTTAATTCATGGTTTTGAGATTGTTTGGTCTGTTGTATATCTTGTTCAGAAATAGTCGCTGTCATATTTAGTTGACACTTGGCAGATTGATCTCATTGCTAAAATCATGAGATAAAACTGCAGTTAATAAAACCCTATAAACACTAAATAGTGAAGGATTTATTTGTATTACCGCAGTATATGCCCAGGTCTATACATCCTAGCTGTCCTGTTCAGAGTTCAGCTTTCATCATAAGGCAGAACATTGGCAAAAATGTCATGTTATTTTGTTTTGAGAGACAGAATTTATACAACCCACCCACCACCCTCCTCCCCCATTTTGTTCCCATTGAATTGTTACTTTCTTACATTCAATTCAGTCCATTTTCCCCCTAGACTTAAAATTGCATTCTCTTTTGTTCTCTATCAAAATTTCAAATGTAGATATTTATGTAATAAACTGTTGAGTGAATTTTAAGTTTGCAATTCGGATGATTAATAAAGGCATGATATCAAAATATATCTGAAGCATTTTAGTATGGCCAATATAATTTGATTTCTTTGCAGGACCTCACATCAGCTCTCACTCGCAAAATTACCCTCAAGGCACCCCTTGTATCTTCTCCTATGGACACGGTCACAGAGTCTAGCATGGCAATCGGAATGGCGGTAAGTTACTGTTTGAACCGTCTTCACGGTCGTTGGATAGCCGCGACTAGTGAGACCGCCCTTTTGTTGTTTCTTCTTTAATGTACTTTGGTTTGTGCATTATTTATAGCATTTTGTCATAGTACAGACCTCCACATACATTTACCAGGTATACATGTACATTAATCAGTACAGTATTTGAAGAAATCATATCAAAGAGATCAATTCTGATATACATATATATATAGGATCTTACATGTACATGAGTTTCCATCGAAGGCGAGCGAAAATGAAAAAATTGTGGAGAGTTTCATAAATTTCATATGAAATGAAAACTTTTAATCACATAATCAAGATTTGTGGCATTTATTCGTGTAAAACGACAATTTTCATGCAATGACTCCATTGCGTAAGTCTGTGACTTGTCCTAGCGTGACCTCACAATTGAAACTTACAATCACAGGGCTGCTAGGTCATGTAACATGTAACAATATGACATGGGTATATTCACTGGATAAGACAGTACATTATGTGATAAACGTGAATTATGTTATCACAAAAGCTTATCAGCCAATTCATTATTATCATATGTTATTATGTCGAACTTGTTTTCTGATTGTTTCTGTTTTCCTTACTTTTACAATGATCATGACCTCAAACCATTTACCATTCAGTTTCGTTTGGGTGTATAAGTCTTATAAGTGCCCCCTATTATTGTTGTCAGGCTTTGACAGTTGTGAACCTTATATTACAGTTATGCGGTGGCGTGGGAGTCATTCATCACAACTGTGCTCCAGAATTTCAAGCCAATGAAGTTAGAAAAGTGAAGGTGAGCAAATTTATTTTGAAAATACTTAAGATGTCACGACAAAATACAGGGTTGGGGTACCATAGCATGTTGAAATTCAATACAGGATGACCAGCTTGCGATACATATTCCTATTTTTCCTGTGGCATTTTGGTAAAAGAATATTACTTTTCAGAAATCATTGGTTGATTAAATAATATTTTGAGAAACGAAGGAAACACAAACATGTAACAAATAAAATTGAGGGCTCGGAAGAATGAGAGGTAATATTGACTTCTATTGCGATAGGATTCATGAAACGATATGTTTGGATTTTTGATTTTCATGGTTTCCATTTTGTTTATTTTCTTTTATTAAAGACAAAATGGAAACCCCGAAAAATGAACAACTTTTCCAAAAAAAAATTTGAGCCTTTTGGTTGTGATGATTCACAGTCATTAAAAGATTTAATATGTGAATAATGTTTTAATAAAAAAAAATGCAAGGATGATCCCCGATTTTATGTTATGTTTGTTGAAGTGTAGCCATCTCGGGTACTGCCAAAATTATTTCTAAAATGTACGTGTATATATTCTGACAGTAATCTGGAAGCTAAGTATCAAATATAAGGTGACAGATTTCTATAACATATTTGAAGACATGTTCTAGTGTTAAATAATACATTATGTGGATACAGGAGATGAAAATGCAAGATATTAGCATCATGAAAATATGGGATGGACTCCGATAGTCAGATCAATATTAGCTTTTAAAGAGGATCAGATTATTGATATTGATTGATCAGAATGTTGCTTTGGTGAGTGTAGTCCTGTGAAGGGCAGAAAATCTGATGGGTCATTGTCCTTACATTGTGCTTCAGGCAATATATTAATGATTGTCTATATAATTACAAGGAGTGTTGGAGTATATATAGTTAAGTATTTGATAGATTGAAAATGTGAAGTAGGTAATTTGTGTAATGTTTCCCGTGTCATTCTGAGATGAACAAGTTCAGGTATTATCAAGTAACGGCTAATTAGCCTACTACCTTGTTATGGCCCAGGGCTGATTTAAAATAACATAATCAATACATCTCATATGGTCATTGTGTTTACTGATTGCTATGTTAACTTGCAAGCCTTCACAAAGTAAACAAAATTTTGATTAATAATTTATATTAATTGATCAAATAATGGATTGAAAACATTTCTTTAGAAACCATTAGATTTTCATATCTTCTACTTTAAGTATAGGTGTGACATTTTCTAGAGCAAGGGTTTTCAAGAGTTGTTTCAAAAATGGTCCACTTACATTCACTGCGTGACAATACTCGGTCAATATGTTACACACTACAGAAAATCAATGAAGAGTCTGACATTTATGATTGAAGAAAATCAAAGTGATTAGGAAGACGTCTGTAACCTTTCTCATTTAATCAAGGTTTTAGAAGATAATTCACCCGGAGGTTGTAGGGGTTGAACAGTTATTGGTCAGTAAATTGAAATGATTTGGGGTTAATTGGTACGACGCTGGTGTCAATAATTTTTCGCTGCAATGATGTGAGACTCGCAGGATGGTGAGGATTTCAATTACCTGACGTTCAATTATGTATTGAGATAAGCTATCACACTTTCACAAAGTGCAGTTGGCAGATTAACGATCCACTCATAACTTCGGCCTTTGTCATTAAATTGTCTGGGGATGCATACTTAATGAGAATTCAATACTGGTCGCTGATTGTAAAAAGAAATGATTGATTGAAGTTTTCAGGAGACTGGAGATAGCTAGGCTTTGTTGGTGATCTATATTGTTTCTAAGTTTTATGGAATCTCATTTTCAATTTTTGAACAAACAACATACTGGGTAGCGGGTTCTACATCTTTGTAGCCATCTTAACTATGGACAACATTAACACCAGTGTTCAAACTTCAATGGTAGACCCTTATACAATCACCATGGAAATTTAACAACGTAGGTCTATGGAAATCATTTTCTTCCTAGACCAAGTTGTCTACAGTAGGTCTGTAAGAGATTTTAACACAGATCTCTTTTCTATGGTGTGAAAAGATAAATTCTTAGACTTTGTTCAGCACCATAGAGACAATTTCTTCTCTTTCTTTAAATATCATTTTTAACATTTTTGTCGTTTCGCTTTTGTACTAAACATGGCATATTCAGATCACCCTGTCAGTATTGGCAGTGCATATGGTCATCATCTGCATAAATGGATTCCCTGCAATAACTCCTGAATAAAGGAATACTTTGATTTTCATGAAACTTTTACTCAAAGCTACATGTACATGTACATACAGTGTCAATGACCTGCTCTCAAGTTTGATTTGATCCAAATCTTAGAATCAACATGGCTACCAGCTAGAGGCCATCTTGGATTTTGTGAAATGTCACATGGTAACAGTGCTGCTGCGATCTGATCAATAGTACATATAAACTTCATTATGGATTAATTAATGGTAATTGGTCACCAATCCATCCATGTTTGAGCAAATGACACATCCACTTATTGGAATTCTTGTTGATGCATATAAAGGTTACCAGGAGCACAGGTTCAACTTGCTTTACCTACATTCACTAGATTCTCCTCTTCATACAGGGCTATAGGGCTCTTTGTTCATTTTTTTAACATATTTGCGTGGATTTTTGTCAGGTGTTTATAGGGTCCGGTACATGGACCGATTCCCAATTGAAAATTGATCTGCATTTTCCCAATTTCAGTCTTCATTTTCCCCATTGGATTAAAAAGCAAGTTTATACAAGTTTCCAGTTGTAATATGTGCAACGTTCAAAGTATTACCATCCATGGAAAAGTATAGCGAAAATTTGAAATTGGATAAACAACACAGAAAATTTATTTATTTATTTCTTGCTATACATTTTACTGTAACAAACAGCTTGAGGAAAAACATTTTGCTAATCAAATTGCAGGTTTAATTTTTTCCAAACTTATGATTTTTTCCCAAACCTGTATAATGTGGGAACACTGATGAAATTCCCAACTTTTGCCAAATGCTGATGAAATTTTCCCAATTCCTGCTCAGGGACCCTTACCCAAAATAGCTGGCAATAGCCCTGCTTGCTTTTGATTCATTTTATTGCAAGAATGCACATCAGCAGCAGCGTTCTGGTTAAGTGTCGTTTTGTTTACAATGGATCTAATTAGGTACTACATGTACATGGGTGTTAATTGCAATTTCCAGCTGCAGTTCTTTCATTTTAATTACATTGATTGATGATAAAGACAAAGAAGAGATTATCAAATGTTTCAGACAATGCCATATATAGTTGTGAGGGAATAAGGATCACTACATCAGCAATATCAGCACAAATCCGTGGTCCATTTATAAATGAGTAGGAACGTTCCATGGCTCAGATATAGAAGTATAGGTACAGTAGCTGTCAAAGTTATAGATTGATATTGTCATGATAAAAGCTTTGTAGACATGTGTGTGTGGCCGTCAGTTATCTGTATGATCTAGCATGACCTTGTAGTTGACTGATCTGATCTAAAGTGATCATGATGAACAGATGTGGGCATGAAGGCTGCACCCTATCTACTGGTGTGTATGTATACATCTGATACTCAGACAGTTGATGTTGATGAGTTGCTGCACCGATGTGTCCTTTATGTAGGTGTATGAATGATTTAAATGTTGTCGAGGATCAATTCTGTTAGCTTCAGAATGTCCACGCACACACAAATAGATTTGGTGTGATTACTCTAGAATCATTAATCATTAATCATTAATCTTTGTAAACATATCGGTAGTATCAGTTACATGTTCAGGTTTGATTTTGAACAAAATCTGACAAACAACATAGCCAGCTACTCATCTTAAATGACCCTTTCCACACAAGGTCATGCTGATAGATAATATCAATTACTTGGTCAAGTTCAATCTTGACCTCAATCTAAAAAGTAACATGGCCATCAGCAGGAGCAAGCTTAAGCGACACATTGAATTGCATGGAATTCCTGTTTCTGTAATAAAATAATGCTTCAAACATCACACTGATGTCAAACTGTTGGAAAGAAGAACGAAGTGAGCACGTGTATACATGGACATGGAGTTATTTAATGTTATGACACCTGAATCCTAAACTGGCTATATAGCTAGTGATAAATATAAGATATAATATTTCTAGCTTGAACAATGTTTTTATAAAGGCAGATCTTTTTTATTTGCCAATTCCACCTCCTCCCTTTCCAACTTTCTAAATTTTAAGATCACCTGGTACAAAAGCATATATTTAAGGGATTAGAAAAGGAAAGTAAAATGTGATTTCGAAGGTTTTTAGCTTGGAGGGGGAGGGAGAGAACGAAATGTTGAATCTTAATTATTAACTGTTGTGTATTAATCTATGGACTGGTCCATATTTTAGCTTGGAGGGGGAGGGAGAGAACGAAATGTTGAATCTTAATTATTAACTGTTGTGTATTAATCTATGGACTGGTCCATATTTTACATTGGAGGGGGAGGGAGAGAACGAAATGTTGAATCTTAATTATTAACTGTTGTGTATTAATCTATGGACTGGTCCATATTTTAGCTTGGAGGGGGAGGGAGAGAACGAAATGTTGAATCTTAATTATTAACTGTTGTGTATTAATCTATGGACTGGTCCATATTTTACAGTGTGCCAAATAATTGACATATTGTTTAATATTGTTCCATATGTGAATCCATACGACGTCAGCCAGCCAGATTATCCAAAACATGTCAAATCTATCAAACCTCCCATGTACATACATATTCATTCAAATCACCATCTGATCAATTGGAAGAAAATCTGGTTACCCTCAGACAAAAAGAGTTAAAAAAATATAAGTATCACAAGTACAATGTATACTTTCACTAGTGTTAGATGGTTAGCCAGTCAAATTGTAGTTTATTGTAAGGTTAAAAATGCTGAATATGTTGACTGATTGTGCTGTTGGTTTGTCATTTTAAATTATATGTTGTTTTTCTTTGTACAGAAATATGAGCAGGGATTCATCCTCGACCCGGTGGTCATGTCCCCAAAACAAACTGTGAAGGATGTCAACAATGCCAAGAATCAATACGGCTTCTCAGGTATCCCCATCACCGAGAACGGACACATGGGGGAGAAACTTGTTGGTCTCGTCACCCAGCGAGACATTGATTTCCTCACCACGGAGGAGTTTAACACACCACTGGGAGAGGTAAATAGTTTCTGTTTATAGAGTTATTCCCACTTGTGGGAGGTAAGTTTGACATTTTATTATACAGGTCTATATAAATATATATATGCATATATACAAATGTAATATGCCATATTTAGATTTTTCCTTATGTGAGATTTCTTAGTTTGCTGCTTTATAAAAATAAATCCTCTATATTAAGATGGCATTCTACCATTGTTTGTCCTAAAACCTGTTATGTTATCAGTTAGTTGTTTGTGAATCGCCCCATTGTTAGTATTTAGTAACAGTTTGCAGGTCACCTTAATTTGATGTCAAAGGAGGGGGGTTCAAAAGGATTGACAGTTGTCTAAATATATATGATTATGGTGTCCCTAATGGCTAAATGAAAACTAAACAGTACAATTATTACTGAATAAATGCTATTTGTAAGGTGTTTTTACTGCATTTTGATAAGTTAGTGAAATGTTTATGAACAGAAGACACAAAAAAGGCATATTGAGATTAAATACTACACATTTTTTACACAAATAATACATTTGGGCGAAGGGGCTAGAACAGCTGTGGTGTTTGGTACTACCTTCAGTTTGATTTGGCTATCTTGTAAGCAAATATATGTCAAGAATCAGTTGTTGCTGGCAGAGTTCAAAAAAAAAAAAACAGGAAATTTCTTGTGCTAATTATTATATCATAATAATGCTCATGGGAAATTATCTGTAGAGTGAAGCAATGCAGATATAATGCATTTGTTCATACAATTATGTAGTCTGAAAGTTGAAGAAGATTTATAATGCATTTGTTCATACAATTTTGATATTTGAAAGTTGAAGATTTACATCAAGAATTTTTATGTTGAACTTGAAAACATAGTTAAGTGATGTGACATACTAAGGCTTATCATTGAATTAAAAAAAAAATCAATCTAAATTATAAATGACCATCTAAAATGTCGGATTAATTTACATACATGTGTGTGTGCTGAGTATGGCCTTACAACGTTAACCAATACATACCTATATGGTGCTGTACATGTGCTATAAACAAACATATTAACAGGTACGAGTAATTAACACTTGTATATTACACATTGGTGAAAGTTTGACTGTGTGGTGTTGTAGGTGATGACAAAATTTGAGGCACTTGTTGTGGCACACAGTGGAGTGACACTAAAGGAAGCCAACCAGATACTACAAAAGAGTAAAAAAGGTTGGTTAAAAATTAGGGGTAGTTTGGGCAGTTATGTCTTTAAAAATCTACTTCTCCAGACTGGTTGATTATATATTTTTATTCCAAGCAAATTTGCTTTGAATTATCTTTGGGACCAGGAAGTGAAATGTCAAAATAAGGAAAGTTATTTTTCTTGGTGCTGTCAGATAAAGCCCAAGATTGAGCAAAAATTGCAATGTTAATTTAAAGAGAATGTTTATCCAGTTTGCTAAATGTCCAAATGAGTAGCCATACTGGATTACTGGGCCTCTTGTTTACAGAAACAAGTGAACTAATAATGTAAAACTTCAGAGATGTGTGTGCCGTATAGTAATCCAGGTGTCTGTCTGTTCGTCTGTCTGTCTGTCCACACTTTTGTTTCCGGAGATTATCTCAGAAATCAAAAGACAAATCTTTCTGAATTTTGATATGGTGATACTATGTGAAATGTAGATGTACAATAGGAGTGTAAATTTTATCTAGGGTCAAGTTCACTTGTTGAAAAAGACTGTAGAGAGTATGTCATAATCGCGGGGAGTACGGTACTAAGCTGGGAATACAAATGTCTAATCTTTTTGAAATTGGACATGATGATACACACTCAGTGATATGTAGATGTGCAATAAGCATTAAAAAAGTTTTTAAGGTCAAGGTTACTGTTACTGAAAATAGACTGGGAAGGGTCGGTCAGGCACATGGCGGGGCCCTGAAGGTTGCTGTGTTCTTGTTTCTTTTATGGTTAATTACAGTTACATCTTCCGTTTTTATAGTCACAGGCCTATTTCATCTGTGAAATCTGTGTATTTTAATATCATCTGCTGTAGGATGTCAATTATTAGCTCACCTGCCCGAAGGGCAAGTGAGCTTATGTTATGGTGCAGCATCCGTCGTCCGGCCATCGTCCGGCGTCTGTCCGGCGTCAACTTTTTGCTTTAAACAACTTCTTCTCAATAACCAAAAGGCCTAGGAAGATGATATTTGGCCAGTAGCATGCTGGGATCAAGGGCTACCATGTTTGTTCAAATGAATGACCTTGATCCACTTTCAAGGTCACTGGTGTCAGATGTCTTTAAAATCTTCAAGCGACTTCTTCTCAATAACCAAATGGCCCAGGGTACTGATATTGGGCCTGTAGCATACTGGGATGAAGGGCTACCAAGTTTGTTCAAATAAATGACCTTGACCCACTTTCAAGGTCACTGGGGTCAGATGTCTTAAATCTTCAAACAGCTTCTTCTCAATAACCAAAAGGCCCAGTGTACTGATATTGGGCCTGTAGCATGCCAGGATGAAGGGCTACCAAGTTTGTTCAAATAAATGACCTTGACCAACTTTCAAGGTCACAGGGGTTGAAATATGTTAAAATCTTCAAACAACTTCTTCTCAATAACCAAAAGGGCCAGGGTACTGAAATCAGGCCTGTAGCATGCTGGGATGAAGGACTACCAAGTTTGTTCAAATGAATGATCTTGACCAACTTTCGAGGTCACAGGGTGAGCAATGCAGGCCCATTGGGCCTCTTGTATTAATAACCTTATGTATATATTTCTGACTATTTCTATTTAATAATTTCAGGAAAACTTCCCATCATCAATGACAATGGTGAGCTGGTTGCTTTAATAGCTCGAACCGATACCAAAAAGAACCGAGACTTTCCCTTGGCTTCCAAAGATGAACAGTACGTTACTTTTGAAATAGTATAGCTACGTACGTGCATGTAGATAAACTTTGATATATTGCCCCTTGTTGCCACTTCACTCACCATCAAGGTATTTCAAGATCCTGATTTTCTCTTAAATTCTTTTTAAATATCTTTCTCACTATTACTATACATGGCCAGTATTTTGTTGGACGAAAGGTTGGCAGCTAGTATTTAAGGAGGTATTGTTTTGACCTAAATAGTTAATAGCTAGCAGGCACAGACACTAGTCTAGACACCAAACAAGCTGAAAAAGTATATTATTAACATCATTAATTGTAGCTATAAAAGGGAAGATTGATTACTTACCAAAATTAACTATTCAAACAGTTGTGCTTCAATCAATCCATTTACAAATATTTGAACTTACTGAAGAACAGTTATGAGGTATTCAATGCATGTTTACCCTGTATTGAATATTTGCTGTATAAAATACAGCAACCTATAATTAATAGGACTTATATTATATGGCAATTGTTTCTAACTCTTTGTGTGAATTAATGTGAAATTATTTACCAAAGGATTACCATAGTACTAGTCTCGAGGCGTTTAAGGGCCAAACCTAGAGAAGAGAAGTGTTTAAACCTTTGTTGTTTTTGTTACAGTAAACAGCTCCTTGTGGGAGCGGCAGTCAGTACCCAAGACTCGGACAAAGATAGGCTAGAGATGTTAGTGTCAGCAGGTGTAGACTTCGTAGTCTTGGTAAGTCCCATCTTCTCAGCTGTGTCCCACTACCTCAGTCTTGGTGAGTCCCATCTTCTCAGCTCTGTCCCACTACCTCAGTCTTCGTAAGTCCCATCTTCTCCGCTCTGTCCCACTACCTCAGTCTTGGTGAGTCTATCTTCTCAGCTGTGTCCCACTACCTCAGTCTTCGTAAGTCCCATCTTCTCCGCTCTGTCCCACTACCTCAGTCTTGGTGAGTCTATCTTCTCAGCTGTGTCCCACTACCTCAGTCTTGGTGAGTCCTATCTTATCAGCTGTGTCCCACTACCTCAGTCTTGGTAAGTCCCATCTTCTCAGCTGTGTCCCACCACCTCAGTCTTGGTGAGTCCCATCTTCTCAGCTCTGTCCCACTACCTCAGTCTTGGTAAGTCCCATCTTCTCAGCTCTGTCCCACTAGCTCAGTCAACAAGGCAAGATTGATCTTTTATAAGTTATGTCATTTTCTGTATGCAAGCATTATGCATTATGTCATTTTCTCAGTTAAAGATAGATGAAAATAATACTATGAAATATTAGTACTGCAGTGAAAATGTCTTGATATATATTGTTAATACAACAATTAGAAGAACAGATAAAACAAGTTATTGCCACACTTTGCAACAATATTTTTTCTCTCTTGCAAATTAAGTAGAAAAAATAAATTTCTGCTGCATTGAATAAGGATTGTAATTAGGAGAATTATGAAAGGTTCTCGATGCACTACAATTTTCCACAGGGACTTGTTAGGTAAAGGGCCTGTCACACACAACCGATATACCTCGCCGGGACTAAACCAAAGCAAAACATTAACAACGGCGAGAAAATCGACCGTAGCAATACCAATGTAGTTCCGGCATTCCCATTGTCCTACTGATGTAAGAGTCGATTGTGCTACCGAATACCACTTTCCTGCCACCTCGTGTTACCGATGCGCCGCCATTGTTCTACCGATGCGCCGCCGTTGTTCTACCGATGTGCCACTGTTGACCGGAGCTATAGCTGAGTAATACCATTGCGCTGCCAATGTTTCAGTAGTACATCGTTAGTACTACGGTATCACATCGGTACCAGTACGGTACACATTGAGCCCACCGGAGAGCCGCCGATCCATTACGGGACGTTACCGGTGCTCTACCGACATGAACGAAGCCCTACCGGAGTACTGTCTGTTGTTTGCTCCAGCAGCAGAACGGCGGAAATTGTTCAGCATGTTCAAAAATTTCTACCGTCGCCTGGCGTTGCTCATTTTTTAGCCGATGTACTACCATTCTTAACGATGTGATACCGGTGCGCTGCTGTTCTAGCACCGATCCCCAAAAATCGCCAAATTTGTGCTCCGGTATAGCTCCGGTGAACCAAATCGGCTGGGTGTGACAGGCCCTTTATATACGTTACTGGTATTTTATGTTTATTTAGTCTTTTCCATAAAATATATTCATGCCATTGAATGCAAGACAATAATTAAGGAGTGGGTGTGGAAGGATGGGGTGGAGATGGGGGTGTTGGGGGAGAAGTATAAATGGACTATCAAATTTGTTTAAACTGTAGTCACCAGTGTGTTGTACCTTGTTTTTCCAGGATTCGTCCCAAGGTAACTCTATTTACCAGATCAACATGATAAAACACATCAAGAAAAAATATCCAAATCTCCAAGTTATTGGAGGCAATGGTAAGTTGGGATGTGCTGTTTGTTTACAGTCCATCTCTCCTATGTTTTTTGTTCGTTCCTTTAATTCATATATCTTTCACTGATTTTAAATTTCACATTTTCATGAAACTTAGACATTCTCCTTTTGTTCGTCTGAAAATGGATTACTTTGTCTAAGCAAAAGCTTTACTTAAATATTATATTGCGTTAATGAATGGTGAAGGCACATATAATTATTGTGTACACCAGTCCAGAAAGTGTACATGAATATTGTGTGTTTGTTGTGTTACAGTGGTGACAGCAGCCCAGGCTAAGAACTTAGTAGATGCAGGTGTGGACGCTCTGAGGGTGGGCATGGGTAGTGGGTCTATCTGTATCACCCAAGAAGGTAAGTGATTTCAGTACTACTGGACAAAGGAAACTTTACAAATCATTTATACTATCCCTCAAGGTAATAGCCTGGAGGAAACAGTTTTAATTACGGTCAAAATTGACAATAATGTATTTTTCATAAATTTGACAGAATTATTGTCATAATTGATATCTGTCTGGCAAGGAAAATTAAGTAAAAGTATTTAAAAAATTGTGAAAATTCTTAAGACTTGCACTTGTCAGAAAACTATCTACACATAACTAAAGTATTAATTACTGGCTCAAGTTTGAATTTGAACCAAGGCTGAAAATACACTTGGCTGCCAGTGGCCATCTTGAATTTTGCGTAAATTAAAGTCGCATGTTTTCCATGTGATACCCCTTGCCTTCTAAGGATACCATTGATTTTCATGGATCGTCCTGAACATACCTATAATATGAGTTACCGACTCCTGTAGGTGAAATAGGTACTTCTGTGGAACTTTTGTTCATAACACATGCACAAGTAACGTGATAAATTGCACATTTTCTTAACACAGTGATGGCAGTTGGCCGGCCTCAAGGTACAGCCGTCTATAAAGTGGCCGAGTATGCTCGCAGATTTGGGGTTCCCGTCATAGCAGATGGAGGAATTGCAGTGGTGGGTCACATCATCAAGGCGCTCTCTCTAGGGGCCTCCACAGGTATATGGAATAAACATGGAAAGGAATGTTCAGCAGTAGTATTAATACATTCATTTTGTTTATATTCAATATTTTCACAGATATTTGTTTAGATTTCATTTTAACTAATTTAATTGATAGCAATATGATTGGGTATCAGGCTATTAAATCTTGCATGAATCCTATTCTAACTTTTTAGCTCACCATCATCTGATGGTGGGCTATTCAAATCACCCTGCATCCGTGGTCTGTCCGTTGTCCGTCCTTAAACAATTCTTGTTATCGGTATTTCTCAAGAAGTACCTGAGGGATCTTTCTTAAATTTTATATGTAGGTTCTCATTGGTCCTTAGCTGTGCAGGGGAAAAATTATTTGGGCCACCAATATGTCAATATGGGATCTCTTGTATATTATCCTTATCTTGTTATCACACTATGTAATATTTTAATATTGAACTCATACTGTTGATAGAATCTGAACAAGTTAAACATACAGAAACATCACAGGTTATCATGTTTTAGAGATTTAGAACAGTACATGAAGGAATATTGAGTTTGCATTTGTACTTGAATCAGGTAAAATGTAATAAAAAATCTGGAGTGTATTTTTGTGTGATGGGTGACTTATCATTTGTATAAGCTTAGCTTGTTTTTGATTGGCTGGCTGTATATAATGCAACAAGATTCAAAAAACTTTATTTAAAGTTGCATAATTATATATGTAAACAAAAAGATATTAAACCTGTTGTGAGCTATGACTGCGACAAATATATAAAATAAGAATCAAACATTATAAAATCACATGTAACTGGAGATAATCACAGATAACCTCTTACCAAATGGATCAAAATTGTATCGCAAAAACAAAGAAGATAAAAATCATTGTGATATGGAATCTCCTACCATCAAAGGCTTGCAATACTTGACACTTTAACCCTTTCACCACTGTAGACCATAATGTACTCATCCAGATGAATGTATGGTAGAGTCAGCTCAAGTTACCAAGGGGTGAAAGGGTTAAAGAAGTATTTCAGAAGAATATCACTACAGAATATCTCTGGTATATTGGTCTGTTAGTGAAGTTACTGGCTTACTACACACTCTGTATTGTTTCACAGAGGGACTTTCAGCAGATTGTACTAGGCAGAATGATAATGATACATTTGTGTTTTTAGTGATGATGGGCTCAATGTTGGCCGGGACCTCTGAAGCCCCGGGTGAATACTTCTTTGCTGATGGTGTTAGACTGAAAAAGTACAGAGGAATGGGCTCACTTGATGCCATGGAGAAACACAAAAGTAGTCAAAGCCGATACTTCAGGTAAACAAACCACATCGAGAAGCCGATCTAAGGATCATTCTCACTCTTGTTTTGCCACAGTATGTCAAAATTTAGAAGAGATCTAGGGAATGAAGGGAGATAACTCTGATGGCATTGTGATAGTTTAAATATACAATACTAAGTTGACCAAAGCATTTTTCAACCTAGCAAGATTTAAAGGCATAAAGTCTGTTAAATTGACAATATCTTCCGTAAGTTTATATGGTCTTTGCCTTCTAGAGACAAAAATGTAGTTGTTTTGGTCCCTTCTGATGGACACAGAAATGTTGGATACAACTTGCACCATAGACTTCTGTGCATTAATACAACTAGGATTTCTGAGGAGAGTAGAGGACACATTTATAGTGTTGCCTATGTCTGTCCTGTCGGGTCCATTTTGTACATAATTCAGGGTTCCCAGTTCAAGGCTAGGACACCATTGTTATTATCAGTAATTTGTGAAACACTCTTTGGCATCAAAGCAGAGGCATTCATGTCTTACAAACATTTTTAAAAGTTTCTTTTTTCTGAATCTTGCACAATTTAGCTTGACATAGCACTTGTGTTTTTACTTGAAAAAAGATTTAAAGATGCAAAACGGTTTCTTTAGGTAGATTGTTAACAGGGAAATTTTGTTTTTGAGATTTTGAATTATTTCTTGTTTAAAAATTACATTAAATAAAAGATGCATGCAGATTTGGCTATATCATATGTTTTAAACTTTCAAAAAATAATGTTCTACAGATTTATGACAGAGTTTAAACTTTTTTTTTTTTTTTATGCTGGAAATTGGATTCCCGGAACAGTTTATTCCTGTGCGTTTTTTTCATTCATTCTGTGTTGTTTTTGTGTAAATCATCTTCAACTTATCGATGATATGCATGATGTTTCTATCCACTGTTTCATTTCTGGCATCATAATCGATTAGATAATCATCCCAGTGAAAACATCAATCTGCCATCACTTATCCTTCCCTTTTCCTTCTTTGGTTCAAAACTAATAGCTATTTCATAGTTGTGTTTTGTTTAGTCAAGTTTATTAATGTTTTTATTTTAATCTTGTCAAAGTGTTCTTGAAGATGTATTAATTGAATATGTAAACTTTTCATTTTTATTACTAAAATACCGTTGATAGAATGCATGGACTTGGAGCTCTTTCTGTTGCATGTCTTTGTGGACGATAAGCATCATCATTCAAAAAATTGTATAGAACATTGATTTTATGAAATTACAAAATGTTTAAGGGGATTTTTTTTTAAAAGTTATCATGGATCAATTTCATAAACAATTAGGATAAATGACTTCTTCCAAAACATGACATTATTTCAAATTCCGTTAAACAAATCTAGTGTTTTAATATTTTGACCAGCTGATGGTTTTGTATGATATATTTCGACCTTTGCTTGACCTTGCAGTGAGAGTGATAAGTTGAAAGTAGCCCAGGGTGTGTCAGGCTCTATAGTAGACAAAGGATCCATCCACAAGTTCGTGCCCTATCTCATAGCTGGGATCCAGCACGCCTGTCAGGACATCGGAGCTCGTAGTCTCTCCAACCTAAGGTGGGTACTGCTACGGTGTAAAAAGGTGTTATTAATAAAAGAAAAGATGAGCAAAAACTTGCTCACTACTCTACTTATCATTTAATTACACACACTTCATAGACAGCTTGGTCTATGAAATAAATGATTCCCATGGACAGTGACTTTCCTGTTGATTGCCTATGGGTGTACCCTTAGTTTGAACACTGTTGCTACTGTCATAATTTGTAAAGACTTCTACAATATTTATTCTCCAATAAGCCCAGGGACCAGCACATAATCTCTCACTTAAAGTAAAGGGGGTTAGTACAAGACAATGAAAAAGCATTTGTTGAACTGCATTAGATATGGATAGGCTTATTACCAGACATGGGCTTATTGATGGAAAGATACAAGGGGCACCTGTGCTTCCCACTAATACATATGGTACAGTTCCCAGTGTTACTAACTAGAGTGTGTTTGTTCCCGCTCCTTAGAGATGCTGTAATCTTCACAACTTCTCAGTAGTATATCTGTGTTGTAGATGATTATATATGTAGATAGCCACTTATAGACCACTAGACTAAGTGTTTATCTATATATCCTTCCCCCCTCCCCCTCGCATTGTCAAATTTTTGTGAAGGCATCTGATTATTCACCCTCATTAATTAATATTGTAAATAGTTGAAATCAGTAAAATTCCCTACCTCTTGTTTTTTGCTCATTTACATAGAGCAGCATAAATATGGCAACTTGTGCTTTTACCTTGTCATATGGTGGTTATAGTAAAGATTCTTTAAAAAAATCAACTTTAGATTTAGCCACACCCATTCTTCTCCATGAAAACTTTGAAAGGCAATTAAATATGTATTACATTAAAACTGAACTTGAGCAGTGATTATTGTGACATCACCAGAACTGATCGGATAAGGCCATGGATCAATCCTGTTTCAGATTTGGGGGAAATGAACATTTTGATACAGGGCTCTAGCGTCATGAAGGTAAAAGAAAAATATTTTGTCCGACATACATGTGGGCAGTATATTTCAATTTGTAAATCTGAGGAGAGGAATTGGGATAAGCTCTGATAGCTTGTTTTACAATCCTCTTTATTCTTTGTTTAGAAGTTTGTTTAATGTGCAAAAATTGGAAATAAAATAATGTTTAAACTACATCAATTTATGAACAATTTTAAGTTATGTGAAGAAAATGTAAATATGCAGTATTATGCATTTTAACTGTAGAACTTTAAAGAAAATATGTAAGGGAAATATTTTGAAGAAAACCGCTATTTCTTGTTGAAATAATGGAATTTTGAATCGCGTACATAGGGGGAATTTCAAAGAATTTTATTCTGTAGGGGAAACTACCCATAAACGGTAGTGAATCAAGTCTAGATTGATCCCAGAAGGCTGACCATTAAGATTAGATGTCACCTTTAAGTTGTCTTCAAGGTCCCCACAACAGCAGTACCACTTACAAATAAACAAGCTTACTGATTTGCAATTAATTCAAATTCAGATGTTATGCAGAAAGTCTTTGAGAGACAGTCAAGCCTATATTGAAAGGAAATGATTTCTGATCTATTGCAATATCTAGTCCAAAGAAAAAAAATATCAATCCATTGGTTTTTGGACATACTTAATGTGAAGTAGGAAGTATAGGTAAATGGAATTCTCACTGTCATGTTGAATTGCTGAGTAAAACTAAACATTTTACGCTTAGGAAATATGGTTTAATTATGGAGTATGTAGAAATATTACCAAGCCAAAAACAGGGTCCATGCTTAACTCATTGACCCCTGAAGACACATTTGAACTCCTTCAATTCAAAGGTTGGAATAGTTCATTATGAAATTTCAGGGGTGAATGACTATAAATGATCTCTTGAAGCAACTTGGCCATTTAGAGCTCCAATAAGCAGCACAAATTAGTATCAATGAGTTAAAATGAATTAAGACGGCATAATTATGAATATTTCCTAATTTCCTAGCATTCCTAAAGTTTAGAAAATATACTTATTAAATGTCACTAGAATCAGAGTTGAGATGGAAGGAGAATATAGCAAACTAGTCCTCGAACGTAATTGCCATGTACTGCTTGATAGATATAAGTGAAGGTATTCAATGTAGGGTTAAGTCAGTCATGTTTATAAGGTGATCCCTCTAGTTGGTAGATAATAATCATGGTAAAGTCTTCTGTTTTGATGAAACTTTGGGAAGTTATTTAAGACAGTCAGTCTGTTTTGATGAGATTTTGGGAAGTTACTTAAGAGCCTGTAGATTATAATCATGGTAAAGATTTTGCTAAGTTACATAAGAGTCTGTAGATTGTAATCATAATCATCTGTTTTGATGAGATTTTGGGAAGTTATTTAAAACAGTCTGTAGAAACAGTTGTATTAGCTAAAGCTATATCGTTTAGGGACAAGGCCATACATGTACTGAAACCATACACGCCCCCAGGCAGCGTTACATTCACCCCCCACACAGCGACCAACCCCGCTTGGATGACAGATGTTTTGGAGGTAAATCTAGTAGTGTAACGGCTTGTACTTCGTATACAAATACATATTTATAAGCCTCACTTTGATTAAAAATGTATCTCCTATCACAGCGATTCAGTGTGAAATTAATAGTTTCACGAACATGACAGGTGATGAAGTTGTCCTGGTTGCTGTTTTCAGATATATATTTTATGCCGTGCATGCAATGTTGAGAATTTAAAGATTTGAAATAAGAAGGCCTGTACTAGTGTTAAGTTGGCTGTTTTGTTGGGTTGTTAATTAACACATGTTGTTTGAGCCTAAGTGTTTGATAAAGCAAGGCCCGTTTGAGTGACAACTTTTCTTATCTGTCACTAGCATTTTAGAGATTGTGTAAAGTCTTATTTTATTATTTAAACATCCATACCACCGCTTGATGCACACTGTTAAACATTGACGAAAGTGAATGTACCTTGCTTGTTCGTGAAATTTGATTTTCAATGGTAGATTCACCTACTTGAAAGTAGTAATTTGAATATAAAAAAAAAATCAGAAAGTTAATGCGTTAGTTTTTAGAGATTAAACACGGCATGAATACCCATAGTACTGTATTGTTTTTGCTAGAAATCATAATTCCCTAGGAAAGCACACCATTGGTGGGTTGTTCTCATTATGATTTAAACAAATTTTAATTAATGTTGTTATTTTACTCACTAGTGAAAGCATTTTTTTTTTTTTCATTCCTAAAAAGCCAGTTAATTTTGTGTAAATGAGTAGAATTTAAAAAATTGAATATTCAAGAACAGTGTTAAGGAAATGTTATTTTTGTTTTTGTTTTGTTTTTTGTTTTTGTGATTTGGTATAAATTAATCCTGAAATGAAAGTAGTTGGGATATTTGGAAAGTTTTAATGAGTCTGTATTCTTTTGTGATGGTTAAATATTTGATTGTTTAAAGAGTTGCACACACTCTAGAAATTCTGTGTTTACTTGCAGGTCAATGATGTACTCGGGCGAGCTAAAGTTTGAGAGGAGAACCACTTCAGCTCAAATTGAAGGAGGCGTACATAACCTACACAGGTAAATACAAATGAAGCTGAGTTTATGTAAATTTTCTAAAAGGCATATCAGGATTTCCATTGTATGCTAGCTTTCAGTAAAAAAAATCTTTAAATTTTCAATTTGTCTTGTAATGTATACATATACTTCTGTTCATATCATTATTATCACCCTGTATTAATTAGATATAAACATGCTACAATAATGTCTGAAAATGTTGCCCATTAGTGAATTTCTAATTTATTGACAATATACCTTGAAAGTACAGAGCACACCTCAAAAACTTCGGCTGCAAAATCACACAGTTAATTCTAAGAAGACCTGGTTGTGTTGATTAAATAATGAAAAGTCCTGGTGATGAGATTCACTCTGAGAAGTAGTAAGAAGGAAAACATTGTATTTTGTATATCTTTGTTTTAGGAAAATTTTATCTTGTAGAAATAGATAAAAATTTACTTGCTGTATTATGACTGAAATAACAATGAAAAGCTTTAAATTCAGTCTAGTAACTTATAAGTTTGATTTTTGAATATTTTCAAAATGTTTGGTATATATTTTCAAAATGCGTAATGCCTTGCTACATGTATTTATAGTTAAGTTTGGGCTATTGAAGTAAAACGTCTATCCCAGGTTTTGTTCAGGGGTGTTTACTGTCCGTTGAATTCGTTTAATAATTTCCATAGGTCTATTCGGCAGGAAATATTTCCATGGATGGGATTTATTTATTTTGGAGTCCTGAGGTTTCATGCCTATAAAGCTAGGATTTGTAGGCTCGCCAAAAGTAAAAGCACTTAAAATATGCCCATCCTTTCCATCTGAAACACAAGATGTTTGATAATTCTGATATCGGAATCAAGCCAGGGTGTGATGGATTTGTCAAACCTGTCTTGGTAGGATTGCTTCAGTTCACTGTCCTATTACTGATACATGTATAGGATCAGTGTCTTTTCTAGATTAGGTTAAATAAATAAATCCCAGGGATTCAACATTAGGGAAATTAAAAAGATTAAAAAATTCTATTTACCAGCTCACATTTGAAATTAATCAATGACTGATTTCAATTATTCCTGAAAATAAGCTACAGAGAGATGTTTTTTTGGTAGAACATTTCAGGGTTGTTTCTGGGTTGTATATAAATTACAAGGGGTTGGTTTTGGGTTGTATATAAATTACAAGGGGTTTCTGGGTTATATAAATTACAATGGGGTTGTTTTTGGGTTGTATATAAATTACAAGGGGTGATTTCTCAGTTGTATGTATACATTACAAGGGTTGGTTTCTTGGGTTATTGGTAATTACAGGGAGATAGTTTTGGGTTATTTATCGCAGGGAATGGTTGCTGTAGTGTAAATATACAATGGAGAATGACTCTGAATAACTAGGAGTTTGTTTCTTTGTTGTATGTGTACTATTGGATATTAGAAAGGGACAGTTGAGGGTTGATGTAACCATTGGATATTAGAAAGGGACAGTTGGGGGTTGATGTAACCATTGGATATAAGAAAGGGACAGTTGGGGGTTGATGTAACCATTGGATATAAGAAAGGGACAGTTGGGGGTTGATGTAACCATTGGATATTAGAAAGGGACAGTTGAGGGTTGATGTAACCATTGGATATTAGAAAGGGACAGTTGGGGGTTGAAGTAACCATTGGATATAAGAAAGGGACAGTTGGGGGTTGAAGTAACCATTGGATATAAAAAAAGGGGTGGTTGAAGTAACCATTGGATATTAAAAAGGGACAGTTGAGGGTTGAAGTAACCATTGGATATTAAAAAGGGACAGTTAACACTAGATATTAGAAAGGGATGGTCTAGGGTTGAAGTTAACACTAGATATTAGAAAGGGATGATTTAGGGTTAAAGTAACCACTAGATATTAGAAAGGGATGGGTTAGGGTTGAAGTTGAAACTAGATATTAGAAAGGGATGGTCTAGGGTTGAAGTTGAAACTAGATATTAGAAAGGGATGGTCTAGGGTTGAAGTTAGCACTAGATATTAGAAAGGGATGGTCTGGGTTGAAGTTAACACTGGATATTAGAAAGGGATGATTTAGGGTAGAAGTTACCACTAGATATTAGAAAGGGATTGTTTAAGGTTGAAGTTAACACTAGATATTAGAAAGGGATGGTTTAAGGTTGAAGTTGAAACTAGATATTAGAAAGGGATGGTCTAGGGTTGAAGTAACCACTAGATATTAGAAAGGGATGCTTTAGGGTTGAAGTAACCACTAGATATTAGAAAGGGATGGTCTATGGTTGAAGTAACCACTAGATATTAGAAAGGGATGGTCTAGGGTTGAAGTTTACACTAGATATTAGAAAGGGATGGTTTAGGGTTGAAGTTAACACTAGATATTAGAAAGGGATGGTTTAGGGTTGAAGTTAAGACTAGATATTAGAAAGGGATGGTCTAGGGTTGAAGTAACCACTAGATATTAGAAAGGGATGGTCTGGGTTGAAGTTAACACTAGATATTAGAAAGGGATAGATATTAGAAAGGGATGGTCTATGGTTGAAGTAACCACTAGATATTAGAAAGGGATGGTTTAGGGTTGAAGTTAAGACTAGATATTAGAAAGGAATGGTCTAGGGTTGAAGTAACCACTAGATATTAGAAAGGGATGGGCTGGGTTGAAGTTAACACTAGATATTAGAAAGGGATGGTTTAGGGTTGAAGTTAAGACTAGATATTAGAAAGGGATGGTCTAGGGTTGAAGTTAACACTAGATATTAGAAAGGGATGGTCTAGGGTTGAAGTAACCATTGGATATTGTTGATTGTAGTTTTGATGTTCGTCTGTACTAAGGTAAGGTAGTGTGTTCGATTTGGACCAAAGCTGCCAGGCATTTTTTTGTGTGACATGTTTTGACATTTTAACACCCATTTTATCATCTTTATCAATGACAGCATTACAAGCCAGCCTGGTAAATAACAAATGTGTAATTATCACAGTATTTATAGTTGGTTGATTTCATCCAGTGGTTATACACTTACACTACAAAATTATTATTTCTCAATAAATGCACAGATACAATATATGATTTACTTTCAATTGCCAACTGTACACGTTTGATTTTTTAGCTCACCTGGTCCGAAGGACCATGGTGAGCTTATGCCATACCGCAGCGTCAACTGTACACGTTTGATTTTTTTAGCTCACCTGGTCCGAAGGACCATGGTGAGCTTATGCCATACCGCAGCGTCCGTCGTCGATCCGTCATTTTTTGGATGCTGTGTACAGCATTCATAGCGGTCCTCGCCAAGCCTGGGCAAATCAAAACCAAACAACAGACTTTCTTCTTCCGCGGAAGATCTTTAAATGCTGTGTTGATTATTTCATGGTATGATTAATGCTAGAAAATGATGAAATACATATGAAAACGATCAACAAGTCAAAGAAAAGACATGCAAATACAAACAATATGCAGTTAAGACTTGAGCTTTGATGAATTGCATTTAATTTTATATTTTATTTATATTTTATATCGTATACCAGCACAATATAAAAGGGACAGTTGAGGGATTAAGTACCCATTTTGCTCTTTACCCTTCGTTACAATATAGGGAGAAGGAGAGATACCCAAGGGACTTGCATAAGTCCGTGATTACACACACTGGAAATAATACAATCTCGTTTTAATTTTTTTTATAATTAATCATGATAATAACAAATTGTAATAATAATATCATAATTATTTATTTATATTATCTATATAACCTTTTTTTTTTTTAATTGTAAACTTTCCCATAATCTTACGGAACAATTTTGGTTTGCAGGGTTGTCTGGTCAAGGTCACTGTTACTATTTTTAAAAGATCATTGTCTGCACTATAGTAGTTTCATTCCTTGAAGGAATTCCATCGATTTGAAACACTAATCAAGGACCATAATATCATAAAAGTTTCAATTGTTTTAGCAATTATACTCTGCTTGTTATATATATTTTTATTGAAAATTATGATTAAGGGATGAGCTATTATGACCCTTACTCAACAACATGTCCTTTATTATTTACTGCCATTCTGTACTGATATACCACCTCTTTATTCCATTATTTGAATCCTCCGTACACAGCATCCCTGAGTGCCTCGGCAATTTGATTCCTTTAAAACGCTACTTGTCCTGAATGGCCAAGTAGATTTTGACTAAATTTGGTCTGGAGCATCCTTATGCTAAGGGGACTCAATTTTGTATAAATGGTGAGTGTGGCCCCCCTGGGGTAGAGGAGCGGGGCCCAATAGGGGAAACATAGCAAATTCTTTAAAATCCTTCTTTTTCTGTAGGAATGACAGGATTTTGTCCAAATTTGGTATGCAGCACCCTTTGGTGAAGGGGAACCAATTTTGTATGAATGGTGGGTCTGACCCTCTTGGGGGCAGAGAGGCAGGGCCCAATAAGGGATATAGAGGAACAACTTTAATATCCTTCTTCTGTAGGAATGACAAGATTATGTCCATATTTGGTCTTAAGCATCCTTGGGTGAAGGGGACATAATTTTGTATCAACGATGGGTCTGACCCCCCTGGGGCCCTATATTGGAAACATAGCAAATTCTTCAAAATCCTCCATTTAACTTAAGGAATGACAGGATTTTGTCCAATTGCATATAAATAAAACCCCTGACTAACCATGTAATACATGTACACTTTCAGTGACATCATGCTATTATAACTTCAACTTTGCTAACATTTCCAGGTGAGCGACACAGGCCCTTTGGGCCTCTTGTTTTTCACTTTTCCTAGAAATTTGGATTTCATGTATTATTAGTTGTTTTGGTCTATAAAGGTATATATCTATTCTTTGTTAATTTTTTCAAATGTTTGAACTTAATTCAATCAGTTTTATGGTCTTTTGATCATTGAATCAGATATATCCTAACTTCAGTTTTCTTTACTAATCATCATTGGGAAACTTAACTGTCACTTAAAGCTTAGATCTAGTATATTCTTGCAAGAACCAGAAAATAAGGTATTTCTGAGATTACATGACTTCCCTGCAGACAGCGGGATGTTGACTCTTGCAATGCTGTCTGTCATGTATGGTGTGTAACAAGGTAGAGAATGTTAGCGATGTAAAGATTTTTTGTAAGGAAATCATGTTTTTAAAACATGTTATATGATACAGTACATCAAGGGAGCACCTTGAATGTTTTGAATGACTGTATAATTACCTCCCTTTGATATCTATTTATTCGGAATGGTATATCTTATACCCTACCTTTGTTTTGTTTGTATGTTAATTTATACCCCAAGATACACTTACCAGCACAAGACTGCATGATAATGAAATGATATTGATGATTGAAAAAAACATTATCTCCCTTTTTCCATTTACTGAGACATGATGGTACTAACACATGTATATTATACAGTCGTGGTATAGCCATTTGAAGCTTTAGTATTCTGCTGTCCATTGCCATAGCTAGTCAGCCCAACCCCTTCGTGAAACACGTTGCTACACCGAGATCGTTGGTTGCTAGAGTATATTAAAGAACGGGTGTCGTATGTTTCACTTTGTTGCTTAAATTTTCGTTTTATATTATGTCTTATGCAGTAGACAATCTCACACCACACATTTGGAAGACCACTTTTTGGGGGGAAAAGTTTTGCTTTTTTTTTCACTGCAATACTATGACATAGATCTAGAGGAAAACATTTAATGGGATATTTTAATATAATGTATTATTTTATTAGTTGGTCAGAATTTTAATTTATATCAATGATTTTGTCTATTACTGCCTTTTATAGCGCTATTAATATTTGTATTCCTCTTTTCTCTTTCCCTGTATAGGTGGTTTTGTCTTGCTTATGTTATAGAGTAAATATGGAGTAGAAATGCTGACTTTATTGATACACTGATAACAACTAGACAAAAAGACCCACAACTGTAGTGCTTATATAAACAGATGTTTGTCAAGATATTGCTTTCTGCTACCTTCTAAGTGACTGTCTGTTGTATTACATGCATTTCAAACAAATAACATGACACTTAAATGCTTAAAAAAATATTTGAAGAGGTCATTTTTTGAATGGTGAATTTTGTTTTAGCTTTTCGGGCCAAGCCAGCTAATGCCATGATGCAGCCTGTTGTTTGTCTTACATAAATAAGAGATTTATAAGTCTGAACAAAGGTACTGGAATCTTGTTGGGCATGGAACTCTCTGAGCCAAGCATATTGAATGTTACATGAATGAAGAGTAGGGCCATATATTTGTTCAATCTTTGGGTAACCCTAGCCTTCGTTGAGTGTTAATATAACAATTTACTGTCTAGTTCAGATAATATACAAAGCAACAGGTGAGGGATACAGTCTTTGGGTAAACCCTAGCCTTAGTTGAGTGTTAATATAGCAACTTCCTGTCTGGTTCAGATAATACAAAAAGCAACAGGTGAGGGATACAGGTCTGATCAGCTATCAGGTTTTCTTTTTAGTCTCTTTTTGTTTAATTTCAATGTCGGCAATGTTACGATTAAAAAAATAAAATAAAAAAATCCCTGATTATTGAAAAAAGTTCAGGGAATTGGTGTCCTGAATATTGATCATGAGAAAAGGAAGATGATTTGTGTAAATACATGGCCATTATTTGATAAACTGTGTTTTATGTTTTACAGCTTTGAAAAAAGGTTGTACTAGAAGCAGTACTCCCAAGCAATGGAAGTTAGAAAGATGACGACATTCCGATCTCTTTGCCGGATTTCCAGATACAATAAGCAACAAGGAAAATCAAGTGAAGCCACAAGGGAGATAACTTGTGTCTCGGTCTCTTCAGGTCAAAATTGTAAAGTAGAATTCATGTTGCACAGAAATTTGGCTCTTTGCCATGAAAGTAGAGGTGAAACAGGAAGTATACTGGGTGCTATTAAGGTTTTAAATGATTATAAATATGTGGCAATACATTATTAGATATTCTGTATTTTGGATCTATTTTTACAAAGATTCTTGACTGGACTTAGTTTTACATTTTTTCCATAAGTGCATACATTAGAAGAAATCCGTAGGACAGATCTAGATGACTTCACCAAGATGACATGTTTCAGAGTTCAAAATTCTACTCAATAATGCTTGACTGTGAGATAGTTCTACGAAGTCTGCTGTGCACACTATGAAATAGTTCAGAAATGAATATTGTTGCAGCACTGATCTAGTTTTACAAAATGTTATGTAATAGAAATGTTCATTATATTATTCTTCTTTAAGGCCAATAAGGTTGGTGAGTTTATTGTATGGAAGGAAGATTGGTTTGAAAAACAAGTACTGCATACAGGAAATGTTTGCTGCAGTTAAACTTTTGCGCCCTCAGTACCAGAGAGAATTTATCATAACAGTGAGCAGTTGTAAGCAATATAATTAACACAGTAATCAAATGTGAAGGATGAAATTATTATTGGGCCAAAACAGATTTTACTGGTATAGGGCGTAACTTTGTCTGGAGGAGAGTTTGCCTGTATAGAGTATTTACTTTAGCTGTAGATAGCATTACAATGCTATTCTTTTTATACTTTGAAATGTTGAGAGTTGGTTTCGACTTGCTATGATACTTTCCACAAAGTGTGAAAACCTAAGCAATGTGTGGTATGCTAGATTGATATATGCAGTTAATTTGCCCTGCTTTATGTTTTTCATAATTCATTTTGTGGTATTATTTCTCCTTGTATGATGATAGTTTTGCATTTTTAGCTCACCTAGTTTGAAGGGTCAAGCTGTTCGAGTTATTGCTATCTAACAGCACGTATCCATCATTCATTCATCCATATTCTTATAAAGAACCCCAGAGCATAAGGTAATGCTGTTTGGTCTATAGCTTGTTTGGATATATAAAAGACTATCAATATATATTTCTTAAAGCACTTTTTTTACAAACAATGAGGCCTAGAGTCGTGGTATTTGATTTAGAACTTATTAGGATGAAGGGCTATCAAATTGTTTAAACAGATGACCTTTTTTCACATTTTTACAAAAGTTTCCATATAAGCCTCTTGTTTTGTTGTTGTTTTAGAAGTGAGAAAACATCTCTGTTGCAGTTGATATACTTTGTACTATAAAGAGGATATTTCTGTACAGTAATTCCACACTCCTGCCATTAGAAAAACTAAATTCTAGTATCTGGCATCTGGCATTACGTGTTGATCAGTTCATCTGTCTCAAAGTTACCACCGTAAAAACAACAGACATTCCTGTTCTAAAATAAGTCATGTCTGCAAAGAAGTTGACTTCTTTTGGAAGAAATAACATTTTAAAAAACATGGGCATGAAAACAGTATAATCTGATTACATTGTAGAACGTTCCAGTTCAGTCTTGATTCCATGTTTGCAGATTTACTGATGCTTTACTCCCTAGATCTTAATTCATTGAATCTCGCTACAAACTATATATAGCTACTGATATCATTTTAATACACTCATCTGTTTGTTATATTCATATTTTTGCCATGGTCATTTTGGGACAAATTGTAATTTATAGGTAGATTGAAATTAGTCATGTAGTACAATGTCAAAGATAACTAGCGCCATTATTTGAACAGCATTTATCCAAATCTTTATTATCTACTATGAAGGCCACCTTCGTTGCAGTACCAATCTCAGATCAGAGAAATTACCAGTGTTGATTCACGGTGATTTGATATTGGTTGTGATCACATTACAAATTTTATCAATCATCTACATTATTTGTTTTCTCTCTCTTCAACAGTGAAGTGGGTGATGTTGATTTTAGAAACATGAAGACAATTCACTCTATCTGATTCAAGGTGCATTCATGATCACAGGGTTTGAGGTTAGAACCCAAGAAAATGATTACACCGATACCAATCATTTAAAATCTAGGACCTGGAATAATAATGTGGTATCATTGATTCATTGGTATCAATAGGTTAAAAGGTTTGTATTTTTTTTTTCGGTTGATCATATAACGAATACATTTTCAAAGCAGGAGGTCAACATTTTTCATGTTTCGTTTATTGCTGTTAAAATAGGACTATATGCAACAAAAAATCTTGAAATTTTGCCAAGGAACACGCGGAAAGAGGACTTTGTAATACAGCATAATATATGGTATTGATGGTGTAGTTAAATACCGTGAGGTTCTAACCTTAACTCATAATTACAGAGAAGGACCAGAAATGACATTTGGGCCAAAGCAATATATTTGTAGATTTAAATTAATTATGTGGGCCAAATCTTTACGAAGGAGGACATGCTCAGCACTGCTCTCACTATAGGGACCACATACAGACCACATACAGAACTACAACAGCAGTCTTTAAATCAATGTCAGAATTATATTTTAATTCGTATGTATAATGCCTTAAAGATTTACTATGTAGTGTAATAGATAATATGAACTCACCGATTCCCCTCCGTTCATTTACATACATCTGCAAAAGGGTCATAGAATAAAGTCCAGATTTCATTTGATAATCAAAGGCAAACCATTGAAGTAAGTACAAAAGTAAAATTATATATATATTGACAATGGGTGCATGTGTGGTGTAGTCATATTTTGAATGAAGCAATTTGGATTTTTTCCCCCCTAGAAATCATATGTGAATACTTCAGCCAAGAACCACTATTATTTATCTCTGTATAGGGATGGGGCTGCGGGGAAACTTTTCATCCTTCTTCTCAAGCCGTTAGTCATTGACAGTACATTTAAGTAGGCATATTGTTACTGTCAGGGGAGGTAATTTATTTGTCTTATAGTAGTAGATTTGGGATTAAAAAGGAATTTTGTCATTCCAATCTTGAACCCAAAAAGTAAAAAGATTGTGTATGTCTGGTATTGCAATTAAGACTTTAAAATTTCATTAAAAACTCCTAGCTTTGCTAAACTTGTAATTAATTTACTTATCGACATTCTATTTTCACTCCATAAGATATAAAGTTTCCATAAGTTATTTGTACATCATACCCGAGTTAATATAATCAAGTGTTAAGGTGATACACTGTAGAACTACATTTTACTGCATTTAATTTTTGTAAAGTTTATTACATGCATTTATATAATTGTCCGATAATGTTTTGAAGCCAATAAAACACAGTGATGATTGTGAACGGCCACCATTAAAATGTTTTCAAACTTATTGATATTTACATTGCCCTATAGATTTCAAGGTGATATTTGCAAGCTTAATTTGTGTGAAAAATTTATGATTTGTTGTAATTATTTTGAATTTCTAGCCTTAATTCTACTTTTTGCCTAAACATATTAATTCTACTTGTTTGCCTTTGACCATGTTTATACTATCATTATTTGCCTGGCAATAGGAGACTGGTGTTGCCTTTTTGCATCCAGTTCACCATTCATACTGTTCCAGTTGGAACATCGGCAAATGTCAAAATGTTTAATGACGGAATTATTCGCAACTTTAAAGTATTAAGTATTACGATTGCTATTTCCTTTATTGATACCTAATATCTTGAAAATTAGACATCAGAGTTGTATTTCATTTAATATTACCAAGACTGTAATGGGAAAATACCGATTTAGGCAAGAACAATACTTCAGAATTGCCTTTAATGAAGTGCAATGAGTTTCTCATAAAATCATTGATCCAGTTTTGTAACTTTTAACTGTTTTTTTTAACAGTTTTAAATGTGTAGAGCTAATGGTCTACCGCTACTGCCTCCAGCCATTTATAGTGATTTATTTTTATTTTGTGCATATCTCCCCATCATGTCATAATTATGTGATAGATAGCAGTGAATATTAGATACATAATTATACTCTTACCACAAAAGAACTCTGAAAATGCAGCACGTTTAGCAAAAAAAACAAAAAAAACTATTTACACTCATCATAAAATACTTACCACCATCAATTTATCCAGTCACGATAAATACATTGCCATTGTATATTTGTTGTCTGAACGTGAGGTTGGGAGTAGCAGGCAGTGTGCACTGCTTTGAGGTTACACATATTATTGTCACCACACTCTTGTATGTAGATTTTGCACACGTTGGTAGGGTGAACATTGCGCTATCCTGAGGTGACAGGTATGTCACAAAATGGTGTTGTAAAATTTAATTAGACATGAAAGAAATGTATTGATTTTTATAGATAAATGTTATCGTTCTTGTCATTGGAAGATTTTTTTAGTTGTCTTCTTCAAAATACTATGAATTCATTCTGAGTATATGTACATGTGTAAATTTAAAGATATTGTAAAAACATACAATGAAATAAAAAGTAAGAGATGTTCTGTAAAGTGTTAATACATGTTAATTGTTGGGTAGACATTTCTGGATAAGTTCTGTCAGAAATGCTCATTTGTTCATCAATAAATTAATATTGATATTGGTTTTATGTTCGTGTTTTCTCCAATAAAAACTGCCCGTGGAATGAGGTAAGCTATTTAAAACATTCCTTACAGGTAGCACAACTACACCCGAATCCTGGTTTACTGACATTTAGTTCGGGTCTACTTACTTTTGTATCACGATTGTAAAGTCTTGTCTTACAATGGTACAGTGTGCCTTCTCAGTTACAAAGAAAAAATTACAATTAGCGATGGAATTAAATCTCTGAAATAACCAAGGCGTAACTGGACTATTAACCACAGAAATCAATGTGTCTTGCTGATTCTGCATGGGATGTCCTGCCTCCTGGATATCCCATCAGAAAACTCCACTAAAAACGAATTGGAAATGCGATTTTTAGGTCACCTGAGCTTTAGCTCAAGTGACCTATTGCTATCCGTCTTCGTGTTGTTATTTTTCGGGTCGATCAGAAATCCAATATGGCTGCCACGGCCGCCATTTTGAAAAACTATTTCAAACTTAAAGTCAAGTTCTGCTAGGTCAATTGAACTGAAACTTTGTAGGAATGATCGACTCATGGTCCTGACAGTGTTGTTATTTTTCGGGTCGATCAGAAATCCAATATGGCCGCCACGGCCGCCATTTTGAAAAACTATTTCAAACTTAGTCAAGTTCTGCTAGGCCGATTAAACTGAAACTTTGTAGGAATGATCGACTCATGGTCCTGACAAAGTTTTATTATTTTTTGGGTCAATCAGAAACACAATTTGGCTGCCATGGCCGCTATTTTGAAAATACCTATTTCAAAGTTCTAATAGGCCGATCTAACTGAAAATCGGTCTAGGAATGATCAGCTCATGGTCCTGACAAACTTAAGTTAACGTTATACTTAACAATTTTTTACTCAAATTGGTACATATTTCAACAACAAAAATAAATACTGTAGGACTCAGGTGACCGTTATGGCCCATGGGCCTCTTGTTTTTCTACAGATGTTAGAACCAAAGAAAATGAAAATATAATTTTATTACTCAAAATTAAACTTCAATATCAAATCTGAAAACTTGATACTTTTAATAATGGACTATGTTTACTACATATTCGTCCTTTGGACTCTTTTAATCAAAGTGGAACTGTCTATCCTACCAGTAGAACCAATACCGTTGAAGTATTGCTGAGGTGATTTGACTGGTGTCTGGAACCAATCAGGGGACCTCGTCTTCGTTTAGTTACTCTCCGCCTTTCCAGTAGCTGGTACACCATGTTGTCTTTCAGTCAAAGACTTGTTACTTTAAAAGGTTGATAAAGAGAGAGGTAGCTAGTCCATAACTATTGCCTTTCATCGATTTATGCTCTTTCAAAGTAGAAATTTGTGAATTTCAAGAAGTTAGTCTTTCGTTCAATTTAAAATCTAACTACTTAGTTCCGCTAGGTTCATGTAATGGCCAGTTTCGTCACCACCAGAATGTTGCTACATAAGATGTTAAAATTGTGTTGATGTTGAATACTATTATGTGGTAACAATTATCTTAATTCCACAACTACGGTGTACATTTGGTCATACCAGAGGTTGGTTCAAGTGGCGTATGCAATACCGTTGGGATTAATCAGATAGGCAAACGCGCGCCAAGGATTCAGTCATCTCAAAACCGAGCTAACTGGTTTCCATAAAAGGTTGATATTGTGAAATTTGTAATTATGCTTCTAACTAGCAGACAGCAATTGGGTTAATGATTAATATATGATCTCGCGGGCTTTTGGCAGACGGATAAACAACGCCATTTGTACATGCATTATGGCATTGCAGTCACAAGAAAGGTCAATATGGGGACTGACCATAACAACGGAATAAGCGACACGACAGTGTATAAGCTGGTATGGCGTTAAAGCTGCCCAACCAAGTTAAACAAATAAATGTTTAAAGAGGAAACTCGAACAAAAGCTGCTTTGCATGTACCTGTGGTACACATGAATGTTTACACCTGCCACGGGCTTGAATTAATGTATTAAACTTCGGTCAGAGACCATGGCAATTTGTTTCTGGGGTTTGGTATAACATCCTCCGGCCATACAAAAAGAAAGAATCGGTTCCTTTTTAAAGGTTGGTTTTATGTTAGCCTTCGTTCCAGGATCTTGTATTACATTATCCTTCGGTCAAATATGGACACTGAATCCTTTGTAGGGGCTTCAGTAATGTTAACCTTCGGTCAGATATCATGGAAACTCCCCACCAAAGCGACTGTAACGCCACTTTTTATACCCTGCATGAACCGTCCTTGACCATAGCTGTTGAGAGGACGTTAAACAATACTAAACCAAACCGAACCAAACCCTCCTTGGACGATTTTGTATTAACCTTGAATCATCGGCCACAAGAACTCTTTCCCTTTATCAGCGACAACGGGCAATTGCCCTTCAATCAGCGATACCTTTCAGTTAGCGACCATGGGAACTAATACTTTCCAGTTAGCGACCATGGGAACAAGTACCTCTCAGTAAGCGACCATGGGAACAAGTACCTTTCAGTAAGCGATCATGGAAACGAAATTTCAGTTAGTGACAATGATAACTAGTACATTTGAGAAGGCGACCTTTGTAACCAATACCTTTCAGTAAGCGACCATGGGAACTAGTACTTTCCATTTAGCGACTATGTGAACTAGTACCTCTCAGTAAGCGACCATTGGAACCGATACCTGTGAACCAGTACCTCTCAGTAAGCGACCATGTGAACTCGTACCTCTCAGTAAGCGACCATGTAAACTGGTACCTTGCAGTTATCGACTATGTAAACTAGTACCTCTAAGTAAGTGACCATTGGAACCGATACATTTCAGTAAGCGACCATGTAAACTAGTACCTTCCAGTTATCGACCATGTGAACCAGTACCTCTCAGTAAGCGACCATGTGAACTAGTACCTCTCAGTAAGCGACCATGTAAACTGGTACCTTGCAGTTATCGACTATGTAAACTAGTACCTCTAAGTAAGTGACCATTGGAACCGATACATTTCAGTAAGCGACCATGTAAACTAGTACCTTCCAGTTATCGACCATGTGAACTAGTACCTTTCAGTAAGCGAACATTGGAACAAGTACCTTTCAGCTAGCGACCATGGAAACTAGTGCCTCTCAGTAAGCGACCATTGGAACCGATACCTCTAAGTAAGCGACTATGGAAACTAGTACCTGCCAGTTATCGACCATGTGAAGTAGTACCTCTCAGTAAGCGATCATTGGAACCGATACCTTTCAGTAAGCGACGATGGAAACTAGTACCTTCCAGTTTTTGACCATGTGAACTAGTACCTGTCAGTAAGCGACCATTGGAATCGATACCTCTAAGTAAGCGACTATGGAAACTAGTACCTTTCAGTTAGCGACTACGGAAACTAGTTCCTCTCAGTAAGCGACCATGTGAACTAGTACCTCTCAGAAAGCGACCATTGGAACCGATGCCTCTCAGTAAGCGAACATTGGAACAAGTCCCTTTCAGCTAGCGACCATGGAACCTAGTGCCTCTCAGTAAGCGACCATTGGAACAAGTACCTTTCCGCTAGCGACCATGGAAACTAGTACCTTCCAGTTTTTGACCATGTGAACTAGTACCTTACAGTAAGCGAACATTGGAACAAGTCCCTTTCAGCTAGCGACCATGGAACCTAGTGCCTCTCAGTAAGCGTCCATTGGAACCGATACCTCTCAGTAAGCGACTATTGGAACCGATACCTCTAAGAAAGCGACTATGGAAACTAGTACCTGCCAGTTATCGACCATGTGAACCAGTACCTCTCAGTAAGCGAGCATTGGAACCGATACCTTTCAGTTATCGACCATGTGAACTAGTCCCTTTCAGTAAGCGAACATTGGAACAAGTACCTTTCAGTTAGCGACTATGGAAACTAGCGCCTCTCAGTAAGCGACCATTGGAACCGATACCTCTAAGTAAGCGACTATGGAAACTAGTACCTTCCAGTTATCGACCATGTGAACTAGTACCTCTCAGTAAGCGACCATTGGAACCGATACCTTCCAGTTAACGACCATGTGAACTAGTACCTTCCAGCTAGTGGATATGTTAATTAGTACCTTTTAGTAAGCGACCAAAGGAACTGTTACTGTTCAGTGATCGATCTGTTACCGGTCATCCAGCGAGCACAAGAATTGTAGCATCTCCGCTGGCTATTTGCGAGATCTCGGTGTTTACGTGATTTTTAAGTTGACTTTTGCGTTGATTCAATATTAAACCACTATGTCCGGATCCTTGTAAGTTGTAGATAGCTATATTGTCTGTTCATGATACGTTTAGCTCGCATAGTTGTAGACGCCAATGGTGAGCGTTATAGCTTCTCAATGCGCGTTTTGATATACGTTGTAGTTAAAAAGTTAGATTGAATTCACACTTCCGGTGCGCTTGAAAACAACTTTAATATTCTTGCCAATGCGCGGAGAAAATTAAGAACACTAATATAAGCATGTCTGCAATATACCTTTCTTACTCTTATATCATATGAGCATTTAAGGATCCCTGTCCCTTTGCACTGTGCTTTTTCCTATATGCAGTAACCGCCACTTAACTAATGTAGAACTACTGGGCCAGGACACTCCCGTTAACCAGGTTGCTACATCGGTTATAGCGATGGTTTAGCAGTCTGAAAATCTGGGTTCGAATCCGTGTCTAGCCCGCGGTATTATTTTTTACACCAACGGCCTTCTGGCAGTTGTCGTTAATTTCATCTTTATCATTTCTCATAAAAGTACCTGCAAGGTATGGTTTTCTTTTCAAAAATAATTTACCAATGCCATAGTCATGCCGGAAAAAAACGTTTTTGGCACTGGTACGGGGGTCCTTAACATCTCTCAACTGCAGCGTTAACAAAACACTCTATACCGCGGTACATGTATTTATCTTCATCCGTGTCATTTTTGTGTGTTTTAACTCGAATCTAATTAGAAATAATTTCGACCTACATCCCTTACCAAGCTATAATAAAACACCAGTATAACCTGCCAGCATACCTGTGAAACATTCCATTCGCTG